AAAAAAAAAAAAAAAATTAGCCGGGCGTGGTGGCAGACGCCTGTAGCCCCAGCTACTTGGGAGGCTGAGGCAGGAGACTTGCTTGAACCCAGGAGGTGCAGGTTGCAGTGAGCCAAGATTGCGCCACTGCACTCCAGCCTGGGTGACAGAGCAAGGCTCTTTTCTCAAAAAAAAAAAAAAAGTGACAGAATCTTAATGTTATGGGCTGGGAGGGGATGGAGGGAGCAGTAAGGGAAGCAGAACTCCCAGGACTTGGGAGAAGCCCAAGATAATTCTGATTATCCTTGGGCAACCAGGTGGTTGTTGGTATCATGAACGGCAACAGGGAATGTTGGAGAAGCATGGTTAAGAGGGAAGAAGATGAATTCGATTGTTCACAGCTTGATTTTCAGGGAGGTCCTCTATGGGATGTCTGAGTGGAAATTTCCAGGATGCAATCGGATTAACGGGTTTAAACCTCAGAAGTAAAACTAGCTTGGGAGTCATCTACTTCTAGGCGGTAATCAGAACTGTGAAAGTGAAAGGACCAGCTGCAAAGAGAACAGAAAATGAAAGGAGCAGAGGCCCTAGGAAAGAACCCCAGGGGGTACATCAACATTTAAAGGAGTAAGGTGAAGAAAATGAGCCTGCAAAGGAGGCTAAGAAGATAGCAGGAGAGAGGAACAGAATCAGCCAGGCAAGTGCTAGAAAAGCCAAAGGCAGAGAAGAGCATTTCAAGGAGCAGTGGGGAATGGCATAAAGTGCTGTGTTGAGATCAAGTAAGATGGAACCCAAAGGCCACACTGAACTTGGCCACAAGTCTGAGATTCCTGTTCTTGGAGAGAGGCATTTTAGTGGTTGTGCTGGGGGCAGAAGCCAGATTGCACTGGGTTGAATGAATGAGAGATGGGGAAGAGGAACCAGTAAATACAGAACAGCTCTTTCTCCCTCTCATCCTGTCAAGAACCTCTTGACAGGGCAGAGGCTGGTAAGAAAGCAGTGTTAAGAGAGAGTTTCTTTAGCACAAGAATGCTTACATGCAGCATGGGAAGGAGCTGGCAGAGAAGGAGTGAAGAAGGTGAAGACAGAGGAAACAGGTATTCAGGATGGAGGGGAGGAGACCAAATGACCAGGTGGGGGCACTCCTACTCCTCTACAAATGCAGATGAAAGCTGCGGGCGGGGAAGAGAGCCAGGCAGCTCCCACCGGAAAGAGAAAAGCATGCCTTCCCCCCAACCCCAGGTGTGCCAGTGGCCCCTGGCCCCACCTGTCAGTAGAGGGCATCAGCCTGTCCCTCTTGAAGCAAGTATCCCCAAGGGACTGGTTAGGGTCTGCTCCCAGGCCAGCTTTAGGCTGTGAACAGGTAGTGTAAGATCTCAGAGGCTTGTTGAAAGTCTTTTTAACCAGTAGACATCTCCCTCACTTGCTTATTAATGCCTGACCACAATAAAGGGCACCACGTGGTAATTTCAACTGTGGGGCTGATTTCACACATCATGCATAGAGATCAGACACATCTACTTGGCATACCACTCCTCTCTGCATAATAACCTGCTTTCAGAAACATTCCCCTTCTCTCCAAGCATTCTGATTTGAGAAAGATGCCAATGATAATCAACATCCTATGGTCAAAGCAGAACTTGCACTTGAATGCAGACACTAAGGACAACCATTGAAGAGCTTGCAGTTCATCAATGCAGCCAAGGGATTGCTACCTGGTCCTATCATCTGGGTTTGAGAATAGGGAGGTGGGTAAAGAACAGACTGGAAACCTGTCTGAGGTACCTGATGAAGAAAGAAGGGCAGAGGATAGTTACAAACTGTCACCCCGTGGAACAGGGCCTCAGCTTGGGGATCCCCTCCAGCACAGCTGCTTGGAGTTGTCCAGCATGCGTGTGTGTTGGGGGGGGAGGGTGATCAGCCTTGCTGGTCCTCTGGGCCTCCTCCCTTTGCTTTCCCTTAAAAGCAAGGCTTGCTTTCCAAGCCTGTGCCCCACAGCTCTCCTGGCAGGTGTGCAGAGGCAGAGGGTGCACAGGCAAGCACAACTGGCAAGTGAGCCACCCTGCTCCTCGAGGTCTTAGCACCTGTGTCTGGCCTCCCCTGTGAATCCTCCAGGGCAAGGCTTCCACACCGCGTGGGTGGGCTGAGCTGAGCTGGGCTGGGCTGGGCTGGGCTGGCAGGAGTGGTACCTGAAGGGTTTGCTGTCAGGGTCGGTGTCCTTGAAGCCCATCTCCTCCAGCTTACAGCGGCGATACAGCTCATAGTGCCGGGTGTGGGTCTGCTCCCGCAGATCCTCCATGTTGACCCGAATCAGCATCTCACGCAGCTTCACAAAGTCGCAGTGGGCCTCGTTTTCAACTGCATAGCGGGGTTTGGGGTATTGAAAGTATGTTGAAAGGAAGGCCGGCAGAAGCACAAATGGATGAAATGAGAGGCAAAATGTCTAACAGTAGCGTTGCCTTGCAATCTGTGTATTTAGATCCTGTGAATTTACTTCCTCTCTTTTCTACTGAAAATGCAAATGAACGGTTACAAAAATGGCAGTAATAAAAAACTGTGATACCATAAAAATACTTATTAAGACAGTCAGTAGCACCACAATACAAATTCAGCAGTTAGAACCCTCAAAAGAATGTTTGATCTGCACCACTTACAGGACAACAGCACATATGCATCTATCCATCCATCCATCCACCCATTCGTCCATCCATCTATCCATTCATCCATCTATCCATCCACCCATTCTTCAGTCCACTCATATGTCCATCCATCCATTCATCCATCCATCCATCTATCCATCCATCCATCTATCCAACCAACCATCCAATCAATATTTGTGGAATCTCTGTTCCCAGTATGTGTGAGGCACTGGGAATTCAGAAATGAAGTCATGGAATCTTGCTCTTAGGAGCTTACAGTTTAGAGGAAGAATAGATGCAAACAGACAAATACAATTCAATGCAAAATTACAAAAATGGAGGGAAAGCCAAGTTGCAATGAAAGCTCAGAAGAGGGGGGCCTAAGAGCTCCTGGGAAAGTGAAGACTTCACCAAAGAGAAAACCCCTAAGGTGACTCTGGAAGGAAGAATAGGAATTTATCAGGCAGAGAAGGGAACAGTGCTTGCAAGGTGTCAATGAGGTTAGGCAAGGTTATGTAACTAGCAAGTTGCAGAGTTAGGGTTCAAATCCAGGCAATTTAGGGGAGGCAAAGAATATGACCACGTGACAAGGCCTCCAAAGAATAAGGGGAAAGAATTAGGATATTGATAGATGACAGTGACAAGGAGGGGTGTGGACCGCAGGCACAGCCCACCTGGATGTAGAAGCTTCCAAGGAGGTGGTTTCTTTAGAGGGTAGATAATGGCCTGACAGTAGCAATGGTGACTAGGAGCAAGGGGACCCCACTTTCTGGCCTGTGTGAACAAGCCTCCTCCTCAAAAGGGTGCAAGCAAAGGTGTGCATTTTGGGCAGTGGTCAAGAATGATAGACGTGGACCAAGTCATAGCAAAATCGATTTCTGGATGGACCAAGTCATGAGCAGCACTTTGTCAAGGTGGCTACAGGTGTGTCTTCACTGCGTCGGATGGTGGTATTTGGCTTGACCAAGTAGGAAAAATGGTGTCTGAAATGATGAACAGGCCAGATTTTTCAAAATCTGGAAAATCTTGGAACACCCCAGATTCTGTCTTACAGGGTCTGGAAGAGGGTAGTTGGGGCAGAGAGGGGGTCTGGGATGAGCAGTCAGCCATAGCGAAGCAGACTGCATTGTGGTCATGAGAGTAATCTTTCCAAAGCCCAAATCAGCTCACATAATCCCTCTGCTTCAGACCCATTGCATTAGGAATAAAGCCCCATGCTGTCATAGAACACAGGCTAATATTAAAGATGACATCAGTGAGACAACTTCTCAGGGCTATGCTATATGCTATCTCCTCCGTCTCTGGACGGTGATCTCTGGTGGTCAGTCAGAAGGAGTGAGTCCAAGGCCCCTGCAGGCTGCCTAAGCAATATTCAACTTCTTCCTCATTTAAGCAGAACAGTCAACTCAGACTTACAAGAAAACCTTTCAACATCCCCTTTTTTGGTTAGGTTCAGGGTAGTCCACGTCAGACGAAGTCAGTCACTGGAACCATGTCTACTGGCTTCTCCTCATCTCACTTCAGGTTCCTGTTTCTCAGACCACAAATCCATTCCCAGGGTGGGACTGTGGGTCCAGAAACCATTTGCAAACATTCCTAGTGAAGCACCCCCAGCTCCGAATGGCAGAGACCAGATGTAACATAGCTCTCATAACCAGTCTTGTCCTACCTATGGAAAATCCAGCTGTTGCCAGTGGGTCTGTGGGGTGTCCTAAAACACGCCAGCCATCATATGTGATGTGGACAACTCGCCGCCCACTTTCAGGTGTTTCCTTAATGTAGGGATGAGTTTACAGAGAATCAGCCACTCTCTCACACAATGCCCCTATAGGCCACAGCCTAGTTTCTAGCTGGAGACTCTGAGGACCAGAGACCTCTTCTGCCCACAGCACTGTCCTAGGCCTTGTCTTATGCATTAAACCGACTAGCCCCAAGGGTAAGTTAACATATGTCAGGCAGATCACAGAAGGAACTTCCCTGAGTGTAGTACAATATAAATGATTACTTTTCAATTCTGAAATAATCATACATACAAAAGAGGACATGAAATGTATATGTGCAATTTAACGAATTTTTGAAAAATTAACACCAACGTGTCCACAACTCAGGTTAAACACTACCAGTACCTTGGAAGCCCCTGATGGCCCCTTCCCAATCTCCTGCCCCTCTAACCCCCCACTCCCCTGGCAATGAGACTTAACCCCTCTCTTGACTTGGGGATTATCATTCCTTTCTTTTTCTTAATAGCTTCACCTCTTATGTATACATTCCTAAAAATATATATATCTTGTTTAGTTTTGCCTCTTTTTGGAATACATACAAAGGGAATCCAATGGTATGTATTTGTTTTTTTTCTTACTTTTTTTTTTTTTTTTTTTTTTTGAGTCTTGCTTTGTCACCCAGGCTAGAGTGCAGTGGTACAATCTTGGCTCACTGCAACCTCCACCTCCCAGGTTCAAGTGATTCTCCTGCCTCAGCCTCCTGAGTAGCTGAGACTACAGGCACATGCCACAATGCCCGGCTAATTTTTTTTGTATGTTTAGTAGAGATGGGGGTTTCACCATGTTGGCCAGGCTGGTCTTGAACTCCTGACCTCAGGTGATCCTCCTGCCTTGGCCTCCCAAAGTGCTGGGATTATAGGCATGAGCCACTGCACCTGGCCCAACAGTATGTATTTTTCTATGATTTATTTAGCTCAATACTATGCTTCTGAGATATATTCATGGAGATATAACTATAGTTAATTCATTTTTGCTGTTACATAATACCCCATTATATGAATATTCTGCAGTATTTTAAAAATATTTAGGTATTTAAACTTTATGTTAAAGATTATAACTTTAAAAATAATTATAATTGTTTAAAATATTATTTTAATTTTTTAAAATTTCAATAGCTTTTTGGAGTATTTTTGGTTCTGGTTACATGGATAAATTGTATAGTGGTGAAGTGTGGTGCACCCATCAGCTGACTGGTGTGCATTATACCCAATATGTATTTCTTTTTTTTTGAGACAGTCTCACTCTGTCATCCAGGCTGGAGTGCAGTGATGCAATCTTGGCTCACGGCAATCTCTGCCTCCTGGGGTTCAAGCGATTCTCCTGCCTCAGCCTCTTGAGTAGCTGGGATTACAGGCACATGCCACCATGGAAGCTAATTTTTATGTTTTTAGTGGAGACAGGGTTTCGCCATTTTGCCCAGGCTGGTCTTGAACTCCTGACCTCAGGTGATCTGCCTGCCTCGGCCTCCCAAAGTACTAGGATTACGGGCATGAGCCACGATGCTCAGACCCAATATGTAGTGTTTTTTGTTGTTTTTATCTTTTTGAGATGGAGTTTCGCTCTTGTTGCCCAGGCTGGAGTGCAATAGCACAATCTCGGCTCACTGCAACCCCTGCCTCCTGGGTTCAATCGCTTCTCTTGCCTCGGCCTCCTGAGTAGCTGGGATTACAGGAATGCACCACCACGCCCAGCTAATTTTGTGTTTTTAGTAGAGATGGGGTTTCTCCATGTTGCCCAGGCTGGTCTCGAACTCCTGACCTCAGGTGATCCACCTGCCTCGGCCTCCCAACGTGCTGGGATTATAGGCGTGAGCCACCACCCCCAGCCCCAACGTGTAGTTTTTTAAAAACCCTTACCCCCCTCCCACTCTCCCACTATTCAGTCTATTTTAATGGATATCTGGATTGTTTGTAATTATTTGTCGTTATGAACAATACTACTGTGAACCATCTTGTACATCTCCTGCTGCACTTGGGCAAGTACACATGCTTTCTGGTGCACTCCTTCCTACCTTGCAAGTTCTTGTGTTTTAGGAATACTTTTCCCATTAGAGACAGAGGGAGCTTGCTCTCATCAGAGCATCCTGATACAGAGCCAGAGTTAGTTTGCTAGTGATTCCTATGGCTATTTGGGACCCATGCCAAATGAGCAGAGACTTGAGACAATTTAGAAACTTGTCATATAGTGGCTGGGGGCAAACAGACAGACAAAAGGGACTTCTTGTGTATTGTCCCTCTCCTGGAGACTCACTCACCCTGCACAGTGCCCCAAGGATACTGTCGCGCCCTCATCATCTTGTTGCCTATCTTCAGTTCTTCTGTGCTGCCGATGACAGCAAAAGGCAGGTGGGCCTGAAACCGAAGGCAAACAAAAGCTGAGAACTGCAGAAGAAAGGCACTGAGCATTACACAACCCAACTGCTATTCATCGCCGGGGCCCCAGGCCTTCACCCTGCAATGTCCCCCACTGTCATCATCATCAACACGCATTTATGAAGTTCCCAAACTATGTGAGGATAAGAAGCCTAGTCCAAGCTTCTGCTGTTCAGAAATTCACAATAGAGGGTGACAATGACATGGTTGAATGCATTGGGAACAAAGAGAGAAAATAAGCAGAATAATAAGCAGATACACAGATTACCAAGCTATTCGCTATTCACAGTTGCTGTTGAGGGGAAGAGCCTTTGGAAGATCGGGGAGTGGAAGGAGGGGGTTTCTGTATGGATGGAGAGAATAAAGGAGAACCAAAGGGTCTGGGATCACTGCCCCTTCACCCTCCCTAGAGTGCGAGACCCCCGAGATTAGGTCTGTACTGAGACCACACAGCCGACTGAGGTGTACTGCCCTTGTTCTCATCCTTCCCTGGAGCAAGAGCTCACACCGAACTCATGAGCCTAGAAAGCAAGTCACTAAGGATTTACTCACATGACCGTGCTGGGTTCTGCTGTAGGTGCTGTAAAGCAGACAGAAGCAGCAGAAGACAAGTTCCCTTGCTCTCTAGGAGCTTACAGTGTTGTTGGGGAAGCCCAAATGACATACTTCAAGTCATATAAGATAGTATGTGGTGGCTCATGCCTGTAGTCCCAGCACTTTGGGAGGCTGAGGCGGGCAGATCACGAGGTCAGGAGTTCGAGACCATCCTGGCTAACATGGTGAAACCCTGGCTCTACTAAAAATACAAAAACTTAGCCAGGCATGGTGACACATATCTGTAGTCCCAGCTACTTGGAAGGCTGAGGCAGGAGAATTGCTTAAACCCAGGAGGTGGAGGTTGCAGTGAGCTGAGATTGCACCATTGCACTCCAGCCTGGGCAACAGAGCAGGACTCTGTCTCAAAAAAAAAAAAAAAGGCCAGGCAAGGTGGCTCATGTCTGTAATCCTAGCACTTTGGGAGGCCAAGGCAGGTGGATAACAAGGTCAAGAGATTGAGATCATCCTGGCCAGCATGGTGAAACCCCGCCTCTACTAAAAAATACAAAAATTAGCTGGGTGTGGTGGTGCATGCCTGTAGTCCCAGCTACTCGGGAGGCTGAGGCAGGAGAATCATTTGAACCTGGGAGGCAGAGGTTACAGTGAGCTGAGATCATGCCACTGCACTCCAGCCTGACAACAGAGCGAGATTCCAACTCAAAAAAAAAAAAAAGTATGTGATCAATGGCTCAAGTATATGGTCTGGTGCCCTGTACATAGTAGGTGCTTAATAAATACTTTCTGAATGGCAGCGGTAGGGCTAGGGAAAGAGGAAAGAAAGGCAAAGGACAAATAGGTTTTGAGCTTGGTGCTCACAGGGAAATGAGGAGGCGGGCCTGGCTTTATGGGTCAGAGAAGAGAAAGCTGCCCCAACTTGGTAGTGTGGGGTCTGGTAAACGCTCACAGAGCCCCAATCCACAAGGAGCTGGCCAGCTTGTCAATGCTGAGTCACCACAGCCAAATGGAACCACAAAATCAATGTTTACCGACCAGGTGAGCCCAGGCAGGGCTTTGACTAAAAGGGCTTTACATCAACAGGTAAAAAGCCTATGGAGAAAGCTTCATAGCCTGCTTGCAGAAATAGGCCATAATCTCAGATATTTTGAGCCATTTGCCCACTCATCCATTCTACAAATATGTACTGAGCTCCTACAATATATGCTAGGCGTGAAGAATGCTACAATGGCAAAAAAGCACAGAGCCTGGCTCCGGAGAGTCCCCAGTGTGTTGAGGGAGAAAGCCATGCCAACAATGATCATACAGCAAGATCAGGGTTGTAGCAGAAGTGGAGGAGGCAGTGAGCCGAGATTGCACCACTGCACCCCAGCCTGGGCGACAGAGCAAGACCCTGTCTCAAAACAACAACAACAACAAATCAGGGTTGTAAACAGAGGCTCGAGGGCTGGAGTAACACAGAGGAAAGAAATTAACTTCGTGGGAAGTCAAATAAGTCGTTTCAGAGTAGGTAGTGGCAATCATACTTATAGCATTAGCATCAGCTATGATTTATTAAGCCCTATGCACTGGGTACCAGCAGCTTTAATATGGCATTGTCTCACTGAATCTCTACAACAACACTGTATGGTAAGTTGCCTTATTATTCTGTTCTTTAGATGGGGAAACAGGTGTGGAAGGGCTACGGGACTTGCCAGTAGGCACACAATAGTAAGGGACAGAATGAGGTATGGCATCCCAGTGTCTCTGACTTCAAAGCCTACCCCTTGCTGGTTTGCTACTTCCATTTAAGAGGTTCAAGCAGTAGATGAGGTGCATACCCTAAACCCTGGGGGGAACTGGTTGTGCAAGACCAGATTATCAGAGGCAAAGCAATTCAGGGAAACCCACAGCAAGTCTGTTGCTTGTTTGTTTCATCCGCATGCTGATCTCACAGCCAGTCCTTCCTCTCCATTCTCCTCTAGCTCTGGACCCCAAAAATGTCCTTCAGAGCAGAAGAACACCAGATTTCATCAGGAGCTCAGCTCCAGGACTCCACCAATCCCTCAGATTGCATGGCCACCAGCTGAAGCTGCTCTTCTTTCACCCTCTCCCCTCTCAGCTGCTATCAGATGATTGTCTCAGCCACTCTCCGACCCCTCCGCACTCCACTGACTGTCCCTTAAATCTGGACATAGGAAAGTAGGAAAGAGGAGGTTATGGAAATGGAAGCTGGGTGTGGGGAGGAGATGGGAAATGTTTCATCAGTCCTGGGAGGGGAATGATCAGAAGGGTAAGTGGGAAAGTGACAGACAGGCATTTGGGGGGCACTGAATTACTGAATATGCTGCCCAAAGGCCTGAGCATCTCCAGTCTTTGCCAGGAGGGTTGATCTGGCCACAATTCATTCCCACTCAGGGACTAAGACATGTCGGGAGCCTCAAATCCACCCCTAAACACTTCCTGGGAAAACATTTCCCCTGCAGAGACCCTACAGCTTCAGCCGCATGACACAGAAGAGCCAAGGAGCGGTGAATGCAGAGAGCTAGACTGAGGGAGGAGGTGATAACGAAAAACCACACTGTAGCACTCCCTCTCCTCCTGGGCTCTCAGTTGTCAGTGATGGAGGAGGAAGGCATGTGAAGTGGGAGGTGCTTCTCTGAGTTCGAGAAAAAAAACCCAAGAAGAAAACAAAGGCATACAAAAATGTCAGTATTCCCTCCGGCCTGTTCCATTTTTATCATCAAGAGTCACTGTCAGAATGATGGGGTGACTTGCTTCCCGCTTTTCCTCAAACTGCTGTCATTTGATTCTTCTAGCTCAAAAACACAGCCCCAGCCCTCCCATGGCACACTCCTTTGCAGCTGGCCTGTCTGTTTTGGGAAGTATGTGCAAGGTAGGCATTTCCCAGTGCTCTCCTTTCGTTTGATTTTCACAACATCCTTCTATGGCAATGATCATAAGACCCATTTGTGAGTTGGGGGAACTGGGATACAGAGAGGTTAAACGAGTTGCCTAGGTCCCTAACTCCCATGCCCGGATCTTCTGAAGCAGCAGCACCGAGGCCACCGAGCTTTGGCTGCCAACCTCTTCCAGCCACCTAGGGTGGCCCACACTCTGCCTCCTGGCTACATGGCATCTGCTGGAAGGAAGCAAGACATGACACGCAGGAAATCATGAGGACCAGGCTCTGGCCCTCTATTCCACTGCTTTTGAGAAACAGATGGTTATGACAAGCAGAATGGAGTTGAGCAGAGCAGACAGCAGATACCCACTCTCCCCCCGCAGCACCACTGACCATACTCCTAGGTCCTACCAATGGATCCAAATCTGAGGCCGGGCTTTCTGCTGTTTTTCCCAGGTCCCTGCAGGAAAGTGACAGACAGGGGTGGCATTTTCTATGAGTGGACCCAGGGAGGAGACTCTCATAGATGCAGGGGAGTGTTGCTGCTGAGCACACACAGGCATCTTAGAGGAGTGGGGAGTCTGCGTAACTCTCTCACTCAGATCTCCCATGAGGCTCCCTCAGATGTCAGATTTCCCAGTCTTAGAAAACTCCAACAACAGATAGTCTCAAGCCTCCCTTGGGAGTCCATTCCTGGATTCACTCCCTGTCTTAGTGCATTTTGTCTTGCTACAACAAACTACCTGAGACTGGGTAATTTATCAACAATAGAAATTTAATCCTCAGGCCGGGCATGGTGGCTCACACCTGTAATCCCAGCACTTTGGGAGGTCGAGGCTGAAAAGAAAAGAAATGTAATCTTCATAGTTCTGGAGGCTGGGAAGTCCAAGGTCAAGGCACCACCATCTGGTCTGGTGAGGACCTTCTTGCTACATCTTCACACAGCAGCAAGACAAGCTAGCCTAACACTGCATGATGTCTCTTTAAAAAGGGTCTTCATCCCATTAACAAGGGAGGAGCGCTCATGCCCAATCACTTCTTAAAGGCCCAGCCTCTTAATATTATCACACTGGCCACACCTGAATTTTGGAAGGGATACAATCAAACCATAGCACTACATTTACCAACTTGTGTCTAACTTAAATTCTTCTTGGTACATTGTAAAGTACTTAATAATCCAATTGGCGTGAGTTCTTTTATTCTTATTTCACCACATTCATTATACTTGGGAGGCTAGATGATTGTCTTCCTCGGCCCAGTGAAATAGACACCATTAGAACTCTTTATTCCTCATCTAATGATCATATTCTGATTGGGCTTCGTTTCCTCCCAGGGTGGACAGTGTTTCCCAGTTAAGCTAGTCCCCATTTCAGGCTCCTGCTGGTGGCTGAACAAGACCATTGGCTGATTTGCTCTCAAGTCAACCACTGGTGATTCCTTGAAAAGTATATGCAAACAATGGAAATACCACTGCTGTCTCACAGGAAGAGATGAACTTGTGCCTGTGGGTCTCCCTGTGACCCTACTGGTCAATCATGTGCTCTCACTGGGCCCAAATGTCAATTGCCTTTCTGGGAACCAAACTCCAGACCTCACAAATGGCCAACTAATGGAGCTGAGTCAAATAAGTAACTGGGCCTTTTTGCTTGTCCTGGCCATGGTTCGAGCCATTCAAAGCACATCATTAAATTGAAAACAACATAGCAATTTTTAGCATTAAAGTCTACAACCTTGAGAGAGATCAGAGCATGGGTTGAAAATAGCATGTGACAAGACCTCTCTCCCTTCTCTTGCGCCCTCAATCTAAAATAAGGTTTTCAAAGGCCAAGCTCGGTGGCTCACGCCTGTCATCCTAGCACTTTGGGAGGCTGAGGTAGGTGGATCACGAGGTCAAGAGATCGAGACCATCCTGGCCAACATGGTGAGACCCCATCTCTACTAAAACTACAAAAATTAGCCGGGTGTGGTGGCGCGTGCTTGTAGTCCCGGCTACTCTTGAGGCTGAAGCAAGAGAATCACTTGAACCCAGGAGGTGGAGGTTGCAGTAAGCCAAGAGCATGCCACTGCATTCCAGCCTGGCGACAGAGCAAGATTCCATCTTAAAAATAATAATAATAAAAAAATAAGGTTTTCTGGAGCCACCCATAATCCAAGGTGGTGGCTGGGACCTCATTATTCTCAATTCCTGCCACAAAAATCCCCCATGGTGAGAAACAGGACATTGTACAGTCTTCTCCACTCAGGCAAGAGACTTCTTCCACTTCAGCTCCTATGACAATTGGCTGGGGTGGCTGAGGCTGTGGGGCTGAAGTCAAACCCAAAATTGAAAGCCCAGCACCCATTCCTCCTACAACTCAAGCCGCAGTCTCTGAGGATGCAGCTTCATACACCACAGCTTGTGTGGAGACTCTGGGGGCTTTTGACACAGTTGTTTGGTGGCAGGCAGCTAAGCAATCCTATGTGTATATTGATAGCACCCTCTTCCCCATCACAGCACATGTAACACAAAGCACTCACACGCAGGCTCCTCTTACAGGCATGCCAATTCCAGGCACACTAACTGTGAGGCCACTCCTCTTTCCCACTCAAAGAAAACACAGTGGATTAGCTGGGCATGGTGATTCATGCCTGTGGTCCCATCTACTCAGGAAGCTGAGGCAGGAGGATTGCTTGAACCCAGGAGGTGGAGGCTGCAGTGAGCTATTGCACCACTGTACTCCAGCCTGGGCAACAGAGTGAGACCCTGTCTCAAAAAATAAAAAGCACAGTGGGATGCAAGGGAGTAAGTGGTGAGTGGTTTATGGTAGGGTTAACCCTGAGTCCACTCGAATTCCCTCCCTCCATCTCTTTCATTTTTTTGTTTTGTTTTTTCAGATGGAGTCTCGATGTGTCGCCAGGCTGGAGTGTAGTGGCACAGTCTCGGCTCACTGCAACCTCTGCCTCCCAGGTTCAAGTGATTCCCCTGCCTTAGCCTCCTGAGTAGCTGGGATTACAGGCACGCACCACCACGCCCAGCTAATTTTGTATTTTTAGTAGAGATGGGGTTTCACCATGTTGGTCAGGCTGGTTTCGAGCTCCCGACCTCAGGTGATCTGTCCACCTTGGTCTCCCAAAGTACTGGGATTATAGGCATGAGCCACCGCGCCTGGGCACTAGTTACTTTATTTTGAATTTCAGCAGAGATGAGGTCTCGCTATGTTGCCCAGGCTTGAATTTTGTTTTTCAAAGTGAAACACAATTATGAGTAACAAAGGACCCAGAATCCCTTCACAGCCATAGCAGCATGCTTGACAACTACTGCTGCCTAGCCTGGGGGTTTCCAGCGTTGAGGTTGTGCCTGTCCTAGGCTGAGCAGGAGGCCAGAGCCGAGCTGAGAACAGAGCCCAGGATGATTGTTACTCCCAATCCACGAGGTACCAAGATGTGGTTTTGTGTGACACCTTGAGATGGCTGAGAACTCTCAGTCCCTATTTATTCCTAGCAAAGCAAACGACAAGCCTGAAAGCTGCTTAGTGACTTAGGGCATCAGCGTTCAGAAGATCTCCATGGGGACTGATGTCCTGATGTGACTAGCCGCTTCCAGGCATCAGTGCCGGTGACACCCAAACAACACTTCTCTCGAGGCTCCCATTTTTCTGCAAACTAGGCTGTCTCTTCATAATAGAGCCTAGTTTCCATCCAAATGCCTTGACTTCTCGAGAGAACAAGCGCTAATCTTTTATATTTTTTCCATGCCCATGGCTGGTCAGAGAAGATCTATCTCTACCTACCAAGCTCCAGATGGCCTTGCCCTTGAGCTAGATTTGCCTAAGAAGTTGATGGACTTCTAATAACAAACACATCTCGGGTGTACTGATGGACAGGAAGCCAGGTGAGACAATGGCTTGCTGCCCTGCTATGCTAATTTGTTGGCCAATTCATAGGAGGTGGCAGCTGATGCTGTAATGATAACTTAGAGGGCAGCGGCAGCAGGAAAGTTTGCTAAAAATGGCTTTTATTACAAGGCTTTCCTGAGTTTGGCTATACCCAGGCATTATGTCATTAGGAAAACCTGATGCCACTCAACAGCAAAAAAGAAATCTGTTCCCAAAGCAGAGGCTTTCTGAAAGCTATTAGCTGTCTCCTTGAAATCACAACATTGAAGATTTCACAGCAACACCATCAACACATTGGAAGGAAGCAAATTTGCCTCTCTGCCTTCTTTATTACTCATTCCCCTAGTAGGGAAAAGTGGGGGAAGAGAGGAAAGATGGCAAGGGTTTTTGTTTTGATTCATTCACACTTAATAAAGCAAAGAAAACACTGATTTTTTTTTTTTTTTTTTTTTTTTTTTTTTTTTTTTTTTTTTTTTTTTCAGATGGAGTCTCGCTGTGTCGCCTGGGCTGGAGTACAATGGTGTAATCTTGGCTCACTGCAAACTCTGGCTCCCAGGTTCAAGCAATTCTCTCTGCTTCAGCTTCCCAAGTAGCTGGGATTATAGACGTACACCACCACGCCTGGCTAATTTTTTTATTTTTTTAGTAGAGACGGGGTTTTGCCATGTTGGCCAGGTTGGTCTCGAACTCCTGACCTCAGATGATCCACCCGCCTCAGCTTCCCAAAGTGATGGAATTACAGGCATGAGCCACCGCACCCAGCCAACCCTGATATTTAAAAATAACATCTCTTGGCTGGGCACAGTGGCTCATGCCTGTAATCCCAGGACTTTGGGAGGCTGAGGCAGGTGGATCACCTGAGGTTAGGAGTTTGAGACCAGCCTGGCTAATGTGGTGAAACCCCGTCTCTACTAAAAACACAAAATTAGCCAGCCACCTATAATCCCAGCTAGTTGACAGACTGAGGCAGGAGAATCACTTGAACCTGGGAGGCAGAGGTTGCAGTGAGCCAGGATTGCACCACTGCACTCCAGCCTGGGCAACGGAGTGAGACTCTGTCTCACAAATAAATAAATAAATAAATAGGCCAGGCACCGTGGCTCACACATGTAATCCCAGCACTATGGGAGGCCGAGGTGGGCGGATCACGAGGTCAAGAGATCAAGATCATCCTCGCCAACATGGTGAAACCTTATCTCTACTAAAAATACAAAATTTAGCTGGGTGTGGTGGCACGCACCTGTAGTCCCAGCTACTTGGGAGGCTGAGGCAAGAGAATAGCTTGAACGCGGGAGGCGGAGGTTGCAGTGAGCTGAGATCTCACCACTGCACTCCAGCCTGGTGACAGAGCAAGACTCCATCTCAAAATAAATAAATAAATAAATAAATAAGTAAATAAAATCTCTCTAGTCACCAGCAACGTTGTGGGCTTAGATCATTTATCCTCCCAGGGCCAGAGGGCTTGATAATCTCAGCACTGAATATTCCTGGGACCCCAAAGCCAGCCAACTTTTTCAGCCTTTGCTTCTTTCACAGCATCAATTGTTCTGGTGTTGCTTTGGTCTGAGACAAAGACTGTCCGCCTTTCATACAGTCCCATGGGGTCTGCCTGTCCCAGACCAGAGCAGCATCAAGGAGGTGGGTGGAAGGAGAGGTCTGAAGGCCCTGCCACACATTCTTCCCGGAGTTGGCCTTCCCTTTCCCTCAGTTTCTGGCTATTAATCTCAGCATCTTGGAGGATTTGCGGCAGCCACTACTAGGAGAAAGGAGCTGTTTTGGTTCTGGATTCTGTCTCACAAATACCTGAGACTTAGATAATCAAGAGTTGACTTGGCTGGGCACATTTGCTCACTCCTGTAATCCCAGCATTTTGGGAGGGGGGCAGATCGCTTGAGCCTAGGAGTTCAAGACCAGCCTGGCCAACACAGTGAAACCCTGTCTCTGCTAAAAAGAGAAAGAAAAAAAAATAGCTGGGCATGGTGACTAATTCTCATGCCTCAGCCCCCTGAGTAGCTGGGATTATAGTTGGCATTTGAACCCAAGAGGCAGAGGTTGCAGTGAGCTGAGATTGGACCACTGCACTCCAGCCTGGGCAATGGAATGAGATCCTATCTCAAAAAAAAAGGAAAAGGAAAAAAAAGAGTTTACTACACTAAGATGGATGGTGAAGATGTTTTGCTGCTATTTGGTAAAGTAATAATAATGAAGGGGTCAGCATGGTGGCTCACACTTGTAATCCCAGTACTTTGGGAGGCTGACATAGGAGGATCGCTTGAGCCCCGGGCTTCAAGACCAGCCTGAGCAACATAGCAAGACCCAGTCTCTATGAAACATTGAAACATTAGCCAGCCAGGAATCGTGAATGCACCTGTAACCCCAGCTATTCGGGAGGCTGAGGTGGGAGGATCCCTTGAGCCCAGGAGTTTGAGGCTGCAATGAGCTGTGATCACACCACTGCACTCTAGCCCCGGCAACAGAGCAAGATTCTGTCTCTAAAACAAAATAATGATAATCATGATAAAGAACAAATGGCCAGGGAGTTGAACCCCTGTGCTCCCACTCACGTTCATGGTTCCGTTGATCTCTGCCACCGACTCATCATCTGTAGGAAACTGATAGATCTGGACTCCATTGCTGACAAGCTCGCTGGTGATTTTGATTTTGAACTTTGTTAGCTCACTCTTCGAAATGGCATCTGCTTTGGCAATGATAGGGATGATGTTCACCTGGGAAGAGGAGGAGCAAAGTGGGGTCATTGTTAGTAAACTGCAACTGACAGCAGCATGACCTAGGACTTCCACCAGCTGCCAGAGGGAGCCGCTCAGCCCCGCAGTCTAGGGCTGGCCACTTCTGTAGCCAAATGACAATATAATAAACAGCAAGTATTAACTATGTTCTGGGCACTGAACTAAGTGGTTTACATAAATTAGCACAATTCATTCTGATGATAACCCCTCCAGGAGGTATTATTAGTACAATTTTGCCAATGAGAAACTGAGGCATAGAGAGGTTAAGTAACTTGTCCAAGGCCACAAAGCAGGTAAGTAGCAGAACTGGAGAACTGGGATTCAAATCCAAACTCAGCCTTATTACTAAGTGTCTTGTCTTGTCCTCCCCTCCCCTCTCCTCTCCTCCCATCCCGTCCCCTCCCCTCTCCTCACCCTCCTCTCTCTTCTGTTCTTTTCTGGAGATGGAGTCCCGCTCTGTCACCCAGGCTGGAATGCAATGGCGCAACATTGGCTCACTGCAACCTCCGCCTACTGGGTTCAAGCGATTCTCTTGCCTCAGCCTCCTGAGTAGCTGGGATTACAGGTGACCGCCACAATGCCCAGCTAATTTTTTTTGTATTTTTAGTAGAGATGGGTTTTTTCCATGTTGGCCAGGCTGGTCTCAAACTCCTGACCTCAGATGATCCACCTGCCTCAGCCTCCCAAAGTGCTGGGAAATACAGGCGTGAGCTACCGCGCCCGGCCTCCCTAGTGTTAAGCATGAGCTGTCTATCAGTTCAGATCCAAGTTGATGAGCTGTGTGGTATCTTGGTATCAAGGTTACTGCTTGGGAGATTTGAAGCAAAAAGGTGACAGCTGGGAATCTGTGGCTGACAGGAGAGAGGTGGCTCCTCCTTGCTACCAGTAAATTGTGCCAACCCATCAGGTCCAGGCTAGCCCCAGCCAGGTGTGATGTGGACCCACATGAGATGGCAGGGAAAAGCAGCAGGGACGGTGCTCAGCGAGGACGCACACCTGGCTCCCTTTCTGGCAGCAGACACTGAATAACCAACTCAGGTGAGGAAGAACCTCTAGTTACAATTTGATCTGAGACTTATGCAAAAAGAGGTATACTGCCTGAGTCTCATGATTAATTTCTGAGTAAGAAAAGCAAGTATATTGTTTCCTGTTATCTGTCTTAAATTAAAAAAAAAAAAAGAAAAGAAAAGAAAAGCAAGTATAAATGCCCAATTTCAGGCATCAGGAGAAAGGCCTAATACAAACCAAAAGTTCAATCCACCTAAACCCTAATCCTTGAAATTCCTCCAAGAAGGGACAAGGCTTTTACTGCAAGAAGGCAAAGAAACTTGAAATACACATGTCTTTGTGAGACAGAGCACGCTAAGGTCTGGTTGACACGGGGAGGACAGTCATTCCTGCCAGTAGACTCCAAGGGGGACATAGGTGGCACTCAGGCCCTGGGCTCTGAAAGGGGAGTCTGGGAGCTCTAGACAGGGAAGATAAATCCTGCCTCCTTTGCACTTTGGCTTAGGAGGGCCTCTGAAGGCTGATATCACACAGGTGCTGAGTCAAAGAAAGACTGAACCTTGTAGGCCCCTCCCTTGAAGTCTTTCAGGGAGAAAGGGATCAAAGCCCTTGCCAAGATGAAACAGCAGGCAGAGCCTCTTCTCCTTGGCACTTTCACCAAGTCCCCACTGGCACACTATAAACATATCTCACGCCTGTAATCCCAGCACTTTGGGAGGCCAAGGCGGGCAAATTACCTGAGGTCAGGGGTTCGAGACCAGCCTGACCAACATGGAGAAAGCCCATCTCTACTAATAATACAAAATTAGCTGGGCATGGTGGCACATGCCTATAATCCCAGCTATTCAGGAGGCTGAGGCAGGAGAATATTTGGAACCCAGGAGGCAGAGGTTGTGGTGAGCCGAGATCGCGCCATTGCACTCCAGCCTGGGCGACAAGTGAAACTTTATCTCAAAAAAAACTATGTATCAAAGGCTTAACCCAGCCCATCCACCAGGCCTGCAGCCATGTGGTTCACCACTGCCCCTATACAGGACATGCAGGGCATGGCCACATTTCAAGAGCAGCCTTTTATTCATGGGCCATGAGCCCATTACTGTGAAAAATGAAAAATTGCTCCTATTCTGATGAGAACTGAAATTCAGTTTTAAAGTGGATGTCCTACTAAATGGCTGCATGTAAATTCATTTTTTTTTTTTTTTTTGATGGGAAGTCTTGTTCTGTCACTCAGGCTAGAGTGCAGTGGTGCGATTCCAGCTCATTGCAACCTCCACCTCCCAGGTTCAAGCGATTTTCCTGCCTCAGCCTCCCCAGTAGCTGGGATTACAGGTGCACACCACCATGCCCAGCTAATTTTTGTATTTTTAGTAGAGACAGGGTTTTGTCATGTTGGTCAGGCTGGTCTCAAACTCCTAACCTCAAGTGATCCGCCCTCCTCAGCCTCCCAAAGTGCTGGGATTACAGGCGTGCGCCACCACACCCAGCCTAAATTCGATTTTTGTAAAATAAAAAAGCATGGAGTCAGAGCTAGGTCCAAATCCCAGACCCATTTCAAGCTGTCTCAGGTTGAGCAAGTGACTTGACTTTCTACCCCTCAGTTTCATCATGAGTGAAATGGGAATAATAATAGAACTCACCACCGGCCTATTGGAAGGACAAAATAAAATAATGCATATAAAGTACTCATCACAGCATCTGGCACACATTAAATAGTAGCAAAAATGTAATTAGTCTTTTTGAAGAATCCTGTGGTCAATTCTTTTGTACAGCAAATAATCCTCTAACAAGAAGAATCATTATCTAATTTATACGTGGTGTAGAATTTGCATTTTTAAGTTTTTCTTAAAGCAAGACAATGCCTGATTTCCACAGCCATCTTTCTCGGGCATGGAAGCATTATGACATGGGGTCACAGATTTGAGTGTCACAGAATCTGCACTCTACAGCAGCTAGTGATATGACAATGAGCAAGTCATTTAACCTCTCAGAGCCTCAGTTTTCTCTTCTGTAAAATAAGGATAACAATAATGTGTACTTCACGGGGTTGGCATATAACGAGGGTTTTAATGTTAGCTGGAATCATAAAAGTAATTATTGACAGTAAGAATGAAAACTTTTTTTTTGAGATGGAGTTTCACTCTTGTTGCCCAGGCTGGAGTGCAATGGCACGACCTTGGCTCACTGCAACCTCCACCTCCCAGGTTCAAGCAATTCTCCTGCCTCAGCCTCCCGAGGAGCTGGGATTACAGGCGCCCACCACCATGCCTGGCTAATTTTTGTATTTTTAGTAGAGACATGGTTTCACTATGTTGGTCAGGCTGCTCTTGAACTCCTGACCGTGTGATCCGCCTGCCTCAGCCTCCCAAAGTGCTGGGATTGCAGGCGTGAGCCAGCATGCCCGGTCCAGAATGATAACTTTCAAAGTCAAGTTTGCATGTTTGATTCTAGCCAGTTAACATTGGGGCAAAGAAAAAACAGCTTTCTATTGCCAAGGCTTTTGCCCCTAGACCCAGGGAGCCGTCTTGCTATTCCCCAGAGGGATCAGGGCAGAAAGACAACTCAGGGCTTAGATCACAAAGCGTATGATGCTGGTGCTGGGTCCGTAACACCATCTTTATGGAGGGACAGGGAATGAGAAAGAGGATGAGGATGCCACAAATCTCTCCCGGAAACCCACACTTACTTTGCACAAGAGATCAGTAAGAGTGAGCCCCCCGCCATCCCCACCCCTGCCTCCTATACCTTACTGTCCAGCTTCTTCATAGTCACTAGGTCCAGAGACTTCAGGGAATGACCCGTGGGGGCAATGAAATACAAGCAGACGTGAATTCGGGAGTCATGGTAGGTGTGCAGCACTCTTCGGATCTTCAGCTCTTCCTGCAGGTAGGCCTCGAATTGTGCGTCAATGAATTCCACGATGGGTTTGTAGCTAAAAGGGAAAGCAGGGACAGAGGCGGACCCCGTCAAAAACTTGGATCTTGACACTGTCCCTTTTGGAAGTTTCAGATGCCCTCTGTAATCTTGACTCTCTCCCATCCAGCTGCATTTCTCCATCTCCCTTCAGGGGGCCTCCGATCTTGTCACCCTGGCCACCTTCTCAGTCCCTACATGAGCCAAACCTATGCCCATCTGTTCACCTTCACCAGAATGCCCCTTTCTCTCTCCTCATCCCAATTCTGCCCTCCCAGACCTCAGGGCTCAGCTTAATGCCCTCTTCCTTCCTACAACCTTCCCCACTTATGCCAGAAAGCCCTTCTGCAAGCCATGGGCATAACAAAAAATGGCATTCAACTGCCTTTTTTTTTTGAGACAGAGTCTTGTTCTGCTGCCCAGGCTGGAGTGCAATGGAGCAATCTTGGCTCACTGCAACCTCTGCTGCCTGGGTTCAATCGATTCTTCTGCATCAGCCTCCCAAAGTGCTGGGATTACAGGCGTGAACCACCACAACTGGCTCAATTGCTTATTGTTGCTTTGCAAGGATTCTCTCAAATAGGCTGTGTCTTCCTGAAGGGCAGGGCCTGTGAAGGGCAATTCTGTGTCCCTCAGGAGGCCCCAACGCAGCATGGAGCTCACTGGCTGTATCTGTAGCGGGGCTGATTTCCTCCAAGCTGGGCTCGTGTCTTTGCTTCCTTTATCTCCCCTACAGTGCCTAGATGGGAGCTGGGTACACAGTGGGTAGCAAGACCTCTCTTTGGCCCCCTGCTGGGCAATCTTGTGAGAACACTCAGGGCTTCTCATTCTCAGTAGGATTAGTGGAGCTCCCCATTTGGCTCCCCCAAGGTCAAGATATTCTTCTGATTCTCATTTCTACCAAGGTAGTGACTTTAAAATCTAAGTATTCAGGTCAGGTGCGGCAGTTCATGGCTGTAATCCCAGCACTTTGGGAGGCTGAGGCAGTCAGATCACCTGAGCTCAGGAGTTGGAGACCAGCCTGGGCAGCATGGCAAAACCTCGTCTTTAGTAAAAATACAAAAATTAGTTGGGCATGGTGGCATATGCCTGAATCCCAGCTACTCGGGAGGCTGAGGCATGAGCAACACTGAAACCCAGGAGGCAGGGGTTGCAGTAAGTGGAGATCACACCACTGCACTCCAGTCTGGACAACAGAGTGAGACTTTATCTGAAAGAAAAGAAAAGAGAAGAGAAGAAAAGAGAAAAGAAAGAAGGAAGGAATGAAGGAAATAAATCTAAGTATTCAGGCAAAATCTGGTAAAGCTATTCCCCACCACACCCTCCACACATGGACACAGACTCAACCAGCTCACTGAGTCTCCATGCACGGCTCCTCTAGCTGGCCCCCAAGTCTTGCCAAGCCTTCTTCTTCTTCTTTTTTTTGAGACAGAGTCTTGCTCTGTCACCAGGCTGGAGTGCAGTGGCACAATCTTGGCTCACTGCAACCTCCGCCTCCCAGGTTCAAGCAATTCCCCTGCCTCAGCCTCCTGGGTAGCCGGGACTACAGGCACGCGCCATCACACCCAGCTACTTTTGTATCTTTAGTAGAGACACGGTTTCACCACATTGGCCAGACTGGACTTGAACTCCTGACTTCGTGATCCACCCACCTGGACCTCCCAAAGTGCTGAGATTACAGGTGTGAGCCACCACGCCCAGCCGCCAAGGCTTCCTAAACAACAGTCAGCCCTCTATGTCTCTGTGTCTTGGTCATCTCTAAGAAACTTCCCCTTCTCTCTGTCCCAGTCCCCTCCCAATTTGTCCCCATCACCCCTACAGCCTCTTGCTTCTCTAACTAGGACAGCTTAGCCAGCCCTGCCTCTTGTTCTCATCTCCCCTGTCTGTCTGCTGCCTCTCTGGCTGAGGGGCTGCCTCTTTTCAGGCTAGAAGAGGCTTGTCATGTGGGCCCAGGGCAGGGAGTTTTCAGATACCGCTGCTAGAAGGGAACATGATGATCAAAGGAGGAGCTGGGCCCAGCCAATGCCTCCCACCTGCAGAAGCTCCCAGCCTGAGACTTTTTCAAAGATCACCCTAGTAGAAAAGGGGGAAGTAGCCTTTTAAAAAATAATCACAGGATCCTAGATTCTAAGAGCTGCAGCCAGAGCAGAGATCCAGGTGCAGGCTATCTCTGGAGCCCCAGAGAAAAATCTTTCTTTTTGGATGGAATTTTGCCCTGTCATCTAGGCAGGACTGCAGTGGCACGATCTCCACTTACTGCAACCTCCGCCTCCAGAGCCCTAGAGAAAAATCTAAAAACATAGTCCTTTTTTTCTTTCTTTGATCCCTCTGAGCCACTGTTCTGAAGGGCAATCGCATCAAAGAATCTCTTGGTTGCAAAGATCCTTAGAAGGTTCCTGACGAGTTTGGAGTGAGGGTGGAGGATGTATCCCCTAGGCCTTTCAAATTAATTTTTGGATGATTTGCTGATTCGAAATAGTTGATCATGGCACAGCTTCATTTTTTTCTCCATTACATAACTTTTTTTTTTTTACTTTATTTTTTTGCTTTGCAGAAGGAATCAAAAGAGGAAATAAAATAAAGCTAAAAAGTACATTTTTTGGCTCCCGACCCCCGGCCCCAATATCTTGAGTGATACACTGTGCCTGTCTTACTGCAATTCCCTCTGGCTCTCAGAAGCTCTCAAGATGTACATGGATCAGACTAGCCAAACAAGCCAATCAGCCTCCAGGATTTGGTGTAGATGAATCTTAAATGGGTGACTTATCTCTGTCTTATTCATCTCTGTATCCTCCATGTCTAGCCTGCTGTCTGGAACATAGTAAAGTTTCCTCTGCTGCTCTGTGTTCCCTCCACCCCGGGGTCCCAGCGACTCATCTTCCCGCCGTCCGAGGTGGCCACCTCTCCCCCACATTCTGTTGTGCTGCTCACTGGATTCCAGTGGGTGGTAAACAAAATCCCTTACTCCTTTTTTTTTTTTTTTTTTTTTTGAGACGGAGTCTTGCTCTTGTTGCTGCAATGGCGCCACCTCGGCTCATTGCAACCTCTGCCTCCCAAGTTCAAGCAATTCTGCTGCCTCAGCCTCCTGAGTAGCTGGGATTACAGGCGCCCACCACACCTGGCTAATCAAAATTCCTTACTCTTACAGGCTACCTCCTCCCAAACTGCTTCCTTCTTCTAAGTGACACCCGACTATCGTTCAAAGATGCTGCTTTTCTCATGTCCTTCTCAACTGGAAATTTCTTCATCTCCACACCCAAGTCCCATGGAAGGGCAGAGAGGACAGCTTTCTTCTAGCTCTTGATTCCCTTGCTCACTGTGATCTCCTCCATCTTCGACCAAAACCAGCTCCAACAGACTCCATCCCTCCCCATCACATTTCAAGACAGGCATTCTTAACACAGGGACCTCCTGGGATCTAAGAACAGAATTCAGAGGATCTGCGAACTTGGATAGGGGAAAAAATACATCTTTTTCACTAATCTCTAACTGACGTTTCTTCAGCTATGAACGTAGATAACAATCTATAGTAATGTTAGCAGTACCTGTGATTTCATAACCAATAGAAATCACTGATATCATCATTTCCCATTCCAGTTGTTGCAAATAGCTCAGAATAGCATTTATACTCATTATGACATCCAAATTCTGATCATTATTAAGCCTGCATATAGATATTATTCCAGAATTGATAGAGAAGCACGTGGATTACTAAGTCACAATTTTTAAATATTTTACTAACCGTATTTTTGGTATAACTGGTATATTTTAGGCAGTTAAAAACATTCTTTTGAGAACAAGCCCATAGGCCTCACTAGATTGCTAACGGGGCCAACGACACAAAGTAACCCCTGGTCTAGACAATAATTCTTATTCATTTCGGATAATGATATGTACTATGAAGATCCTCCAATAGGGTAATGGGATATACATGTGATTGAGGGTTTAACTACTTTAAATACAGTGATCAGGGAAGGCTTCTCTAAGGGTGAGACATTTGAGCCGCAAGGATGAGGATGAGAGAGGAGATATCTGGGTGAAAAGCATTGCAGGCAGAGGAAATAACAAATGTGAGGATGGTCCTGACGCACAAACCAGTCTGACAGGTTTGAGCAATAGGAAAAAGGCCAGGGAGGTGGGGCTTGGTGAACCCAGTGTGAGTAAACTATTCGCAGTAGCCCAAAGGTGGAAACGACCCAAATGTCCATCAACTGATGACTAGATAAGGAAAACATGGAGGCCGCTGCCATGGCTCACACCTGTAATCCCAGAACTTTGAGAGGCTGAGGCAGGTGGAGTTCGAGACCAACCCAGCCAACATGGCGAAACCCCTGTCTCTAATAAAAATACAAAAATTAGCCAGGTGTGGTGGTGTGTGCCTGTAGTCACAGCTACTCGGGAGGCCGAGGCAGGAGAACTGCTTGAACCCGGGTGGCGGAGGTTGCAGTGAGCCAAGATTGCACTACTGCACTCTAGCCTGGGCAACAGAGTGAGATTGTGTCTCAAAAAAAGTGCCTTATTTCTTGTATCTCTGGCACCTCACACTGTGCTTGTCACACAGTAGACATTTAGTAGTTTATAAAATGGACTAGGTTCCCACAGCAACTTGATTCTCAGTCTTGTGGATTCTTTTTCTCAAATCTGCCCCTCCTCTCCTCAAAGCTTCTCTTTCTGTTCAAGCCCTCATGATGTCTCCCATCCTCAAGAGTTGCCCCTGACCTCCTTGTCCCCCTCTAAACATGGCCTTGTGTATTTCTCCCAGCTCAGACAAGCTTTCTTTTTTATCTGTTTTTTAGAGAAGAGGCCTCGCTCTGTTGCCCAGGCTGTAGAACAATGGCATGATCACAGCTCACTGTGACCTTTAACTCGTGAGCTGTATTCTCCTGCCTCAGCCTTCTGAGTAGCTGGGACTACAGGCGCACACCACCCCACCTGGCTAATTTTTAATTCTTTTGTAGAGACAGGGTCTCCTTACGTTACCCAGGGTGGTCCTGAACTTTTAGGCTCAAGTGATCCTCC